TTTATTTTATTTTATTTTTTACAAAAGGTACATTTTCCTGTTATAATGTATAATTTCCCTTTAAAAAATGCTTACTACCATATGAATATTTGTACGGTCAGCCAGCTGAAAAAGAATAACTGAAAGTTTCAGTTACTATGAGGAAAGGTGTACTTTGACAAGTCAAAGATGAATATTTTATGATAATTTTTACTTTTCACACCGTTTTAAAAATAAAAACAGTAGTCTACAGTATACAGTAGCTACTCATAACCTAGAATTGTATTAGAATTGTATTTCATACGACTTTAATCGGCATTCTGTGATCAATTCGCGCTACGGTAGCATTTTTCGACAAGGCAGCAAAAATCGACAGAACAATGGCTAATATTGCCCACAACCCATTGCACGTACGAGGATTCGATTAGAATAGCCTACAAGTACGAATAAAAAGCGTTAAGAACTACAAACGTGTTGGACGTGCGAGTAGGATTAGCTAGTTTGCTCAAAAATAGAAATTCTGTCATCATTTACTCACCCTCAAGTTCTTTCAAACCTGAATGTAAACAACACTGGGTCCCTGTTTCAGTTTGTAACTGTTTTCTTTATTTCACATGTAAAGAAAACATCTTAAAGATGTTAACTTTAACATCTTAACTTTTTGATTCAGTTTTAAATGTTCTGTTGGTTGTATTTTACCCCAGCTTTTGTGTAGTGTTAAAAAACTGAAACAGGAAGTGCTTCTGGACCAGTGTTGTTTACATCTTGTGAAATGGTCCGGTTGTGGAGATTAAAGCGGAGGAAAATCGAGGAAAACGGGATTATGGCAGAGTCTTCAAAATTTACTGTCCTCCCATCTTTGAAAGGAAACGTACGTTTAGATGTAATTTTATATATAGTTATGTTTAATTAATATAATTTTAAAAAGTAGCATAAACACAACGAGGGGTGTCTGTTTTATCTGTTTTTGTGACTAACGTTTCTTTACTATAACCATAAAATTCAAATTCTCGGTATTGCATTGGACTCTACGATCGGCGGAAATTATCGAGCGTCCTTACACCTTCACCGGAAATACCGCCGTGCATAGAGCCCATTGGAAGTCATCAACTGTTTGCTTACCGACATTCGTTAAAATATCTTCTTTTGTGTTCGGCAAAAGAAAGAAACTCACACAGGTTTGAAACAACTAGAGGTGATGAATGAATTATAAATTTACATTTTTACGTGAAGTATTCCTTTGAGTACCGAGGTTTTTTCTGTAAGACTTTTATTTTGAAAGACGCACTTCAACGCTTCCGGGTTTCATGGGCGGGATCGAGCGGGATTTGTCAACTTTGTGCATGTCCACTTCCGACGCAGTTCAACAATGGCCGAAACGAAGGCCAGATATCACCATAGACAGGGATATCACTTTTCTGTTCCACTTTAATGTAAATTTAACCAACAACGCCAACCCTACCTTAAGTTTTAATGGATTCCCGACTGAATTGAGTATAAGGAAGAAGTAGATTAAAGCGGTTCGCCGGGATGAAAGTCCAAACTTAAAAATAAAACAAGGTAAGTTAGCGCGTTTGTCTGTTCAGGTGAAATACTACATTATAATGGTCGTATTGGCCCTTTACATGTATTTTAATTGGTAAAAAGTAGTAGGTGAGTTATAATCAGTCAGATTTAATCCTCATGAATAGTATCAACTAATTTCAGGGCAGAAATAACCTTTTAATCAAAAATGTTTGACACGAGTACTTGTTGAGAAACGTTATTTTTTAGAAATAAATTTGGGGTCTAGAAAAGAATGCCAATGGGTTATATGTTTTTTTTTTTTTTGCTTAATTTGATGCAAGTTTTCTGCAAAATCTGTGACGTGTTTTTATTTTTATACATATTTACCTGTCAGAGCTCGAGCAACGGCAAGATCACGGGTTTTTTATGGTTAATGAAATCCTAAATTACTTTATGTGATCTCACCTATAAATGTTGTGTTTTTTGGCCTTGATTTGGCAGGAATATTACATGAAATCTTTGATGTTGCTCATCTTGCACAAGCAGGTCAAGGGTCATGCATTCCATTCCCAGGTAACATTATAAAAATAAATATCTTTAAACTGTTATCTCTACTTTAAATGTTGTGTTTTTTGGCTTTGATTTGGTAGGAATATTAGGCTACAGTAAATCTTTGATGTACCGGCGTCTTCATGTTGCTCATCCTGCACCAACAGGTCAAAGGTCATGGATCGATTCAGGTAACATTGTAAAAACAGTTATCTGTCCTTTAAATGTTGCATATGTTTTTGGGCTGTATTTGTTAGAAATATTCCATGAAATCAGAAATGTTCATCCTCATGTTGCACGTCTTGCTCTTCATGCATTCGATTCCCAAGTAACAGAAAAATAAATCCTCTCAGTCCTTAGAGGTTGCATATGTTGATTCGGTATTATCTGTGACACCTGACCTCTTGTTTCCCTCTTACAGCTCATCCGACACGAGCAGGTCAAAGGTCACCCGTCAGAATCCCAGGTGAGGTCAAATACTTATAGAAACACAGAGCTCAATGCAGTTGTCTGTCCTTCAGATGTTGCATGTAGAAATATTCCATGAAATCAGAGATGTTTGTCCTCATGCATGTTGTATTATACTTTTTAATTTGATTCTAATTTTATTTTATTTACTTTCCATTTTTATTTGATTTATTTTACCTGTTATTTTCTACTTTTTTTATTTTATCCTATTCATATTTTTATCCCATTTCTATTTTATGCTACTTTTAAATTAATTTAAGTTTAGTATTATTATTATTTTAATTTTATTATTTTGGTTGCATGCATTCGATTCCCAGGTAACATAGAAATTATTTAGTATTATTTTATTTTATTTTTTTATTTATTTTATTTGATTTCATTTCTATTTTATTTGAGTATTTTATGCATTCGACTCCTGGGTAATCAGTCTTTTAGATGTTGCATGTGTTTTTTAGTAGAAATATTCCATGAAATCTGAGATGTTTGTCCTCATGGAAGTCATGCATTCAATATTTTTATTGTATTATACTTTTTAATTTGATTCTAATTTTATTTACTTTCCATTTTTATTTTATTTATTTTACTATTATTTCACCTGTTATTTTCTACTTTTTTATTTTATCCTATTCACATTTTTATCCTATTTCTATTTTATGCTACTTTTAAATTAATTTAATTTTAGTATTATTTTAATTTTATTATTTTGGTTGCATGCATGCGATTCCCAGGTAACATAGAAATTATTTAGTATTATTTTATTTTCTATTTTTAATTATTTTCTTCCATTTCTATTTTATTTGAGTATTTTATGCATTCGACTCCCGGGTAATCAGTCCTTTAGATGTTGCATGTGTTTTTTAGTAGAAATATTCCATGAAATCTGAGATGTTTGTCCTCATGCAAGTCATGCATTCAATATTTTTATTTGTATTATACTTTTTAATTTGATTCTAATTTCATTTTATTTACTTTCCATTTTTATTTTATTTATTTTACTATTATTTTACCTGTTATTTTCTACTTTTTTATTTTATCCTATTCACATTTTTATCCCATTTCTATTTTATGCTACTTTTAAATTAATTTAAGTTTAGTATTATTTTAATTTTATTATTTCGGTTGCATGCATTCGATTCCCAGGTAACATAGAAATTATTTAGTATTATTTTATTTTCTATTTTTAATTATTTTATTCCATTGCGATTTTATTTGAGTATTTTATGCATTCGACTCCCGGGTAATCAGTCCTTTAGATGTTGCATGTGTTTTTTAGTAGAAATATTCCATGAAATCTGAGATGTTTGTCCTCATGGAAGTCATGCATTCAATATTTTTATTGTATTATACTTTTTAATTTGATTCTAATTTTATTTACTTTCCATTTTTATTTTATTTATTTTACTATTATTTCACCTGTTATTTTCTACTTTTTTATTTTATCCTATTCACATTTTTATCCTATTTCTATTTTATGCTACTTTTAAATTAATTTAATTTTAGTATTATTTTAATTTTATTATTTTGGTTGCATGCATGCGATTCCCAGGTAACATAGAAATTATTTAGTATTATTTTATTTTCTATTTTTATTTATTTTATTCCATTGCTATTTTATTTGAGTATTTTATGCATTCGACTCCCGGGTAATCAGTCCTTTAGATGTTGCATGTGTTTTTTGGTAGAAATATTTCATGAAATCACAGATGTTTGTCCTCATGCAAGTCATGCATTCAATATTTTTATTGTATTATACTTTTTAATTTGATTCTAATTTTATTTTATTTACTTTCCATTTTTATTTTATTTATTTTACTATTATTTTACCTGTTATTTTCTACTTTTTTATTTTTATTCATATTTTTATCCCATTTCTATTTTATCCTGCTTTTTTAGTATTATTTAAATTTTATTATTTTGGTTGCATGCATTCGATTCCCAGGTAACATAGAAATTATTTAGTATTATTTTATTTTATTTTTTTATTTATTTTATTTGATTCCATTGCTATTTTATTTTAGTATTTTATGCATTCGACTCCCGGGTAATCAGTCCTTTAGATGTTGCATGTGTTTTTTGGTAGAAATATTCCATGAAATCAGAGATGTTTGTGCTCATGCAAGTCATGCATTCAATATTTTTATTGTATTATACTTTTTAATTTGATTCTAATTTTATTTTGTTTACTTTCCATTTTTATTTTATTTATTTTACTATTATTTCACCTGTTATTTTCTACTTTTTTATTTTATCCTATTCATATTTTTATCCCATTTCTATTTTATGCTACTTTTAAATTAATTTAAGTTTAGTATTATTTTAATTGTATTATTTTGGTTGCATGCATTCGATTCCCAGGTAACATAGAAATTATTTAGTATTATTTTATTTTCTATTTTTATTTATTTTATTTGATTCTATTTTATTTGAGTATTTTATGCATTCGACTCCCGGGTAATCAGTCCTTTAGATGTTGCATGTGTTTTTTGGTAGAAATATTCCATGAAATCAGAGATGTTTGTCCTCATGCAATATTTTTATTGTATTATACTTTTTAATTTGATTCTAATTTTATTTTATTTACTTTCCATTTTTATTTTATTTATTTTACTATTATTTTATTATTTTCTACTTTTTTATTTTTATTCATATTTTTATCCCATTTCTATTTTATCCTGCTTTTTTTAGTATTATTTTAATTTTATTAATTTGGTTGCATGCATTCAATTCCCAGGTAATATAGAAATTATTTAGTATTATTTTATTTTCTATTTTTATTTATTTTATTTTATTCCATTTCTATTTATGCATTCGACTCCCGGGTAATCAGTCCTTTAGATGTTGCATGTGTTTTTGGGTTTGATTTGGCAGAAATATCACACAGTATCTGTGACGCTCGCAGCCCATCTGACACGAGCAGGTCAAAGGTCACCCGTCAGATTCCCAGGTGAGTTAACATGCACGCATAAAGACACAGAGCTTAAATGCATTGCAAATCAGCCAAATGTAAATGATTTTGTGGTTTTATTAAGGTGTTCTTGCAACGATTTACAATTATAGAGTTGAGAAGTCGTGCCCCGGGAATAAGAGGAAACAGCTCTGCGGACGCCGATGTGTTGACATCTGTGACGAGGCTTTTGACGACGGCGTCCGCAATCGGAATGTGCATCGAGAGGAAAAAACTAAAACAATGCATGGATCATTTGGTGAGCTCCAGCTTGAGTCGATTATTGATGTCATCTTGATCCAATTTGATGAATTTCAGAGGGTTCGCCCAGAGAAACGGCCCGTCCGGAGCAAACCGGGGTCATTTTTCCTCAGGATTTCAGTCTGATCTACATTTATTTTTGAGCAAAACATCTATCTAGATGTGCTAAGCGTATCTCTTTTAAGTTGACCTTCGTGCAACTTTTCCCTTTGTGCGATTGCAAGCGAACGCCAAGTCTTTAGAAACTCGCCGGAGACTAAACAAGAAGCAGGTTGTACCCGCGCTGATAAATCTACAGCTAAGGCGCAGACGCGTCTCCTGAGATGCTGAGCCGCGTGATTCACTCCTGTGGGTGGGTCGGCCTGCATAATAAACTGGTTGCCAATTTGTTTTCTAAATGAAAATCCGTTGGTCAACCCGAGACCCTGTCCCAATTCGTTAAATCTAATTGACTTTTTTTGGCTGATTTCCTCATTTAGACGCGGCTTTGATCCTCCCGCTCGCATGAGGTAATGCTGCGATCTGTGCCACGGTTTCATTCATTTTAATCTTTTTATTGAATGCCAGGCACATAAGCATGACAATAATCCAATATATAGTGTAAAAAATATTAAACAACAAATAGGAAAAGAAAATGCACAGCGAAATTCATAAAGTAATAGTACAAAAGAAAGAAACAAAGTGATATAAACTGGAAGAAGAATGACAAGATTTACAGTAAAAACCACATTTGGTGGTGATCTTTGTCTATTAACATAAAATACATATTTTTTTTAGAGAAAAGGGAAGTTTCATCCCTAAAAATATTCCATATCTACCCAAAACATCTTGCTATAAATGCTATTAAAAAATACGTGGACAATATTTTATTTCTCAGTCCCACAGAAAACACACTTTTTATTATTATTATTTATTGAACGCCAGTCAGATACAAATTATAAACATGACAATAATCCAATATATAGTGTAAAAATATTAAACAAATGTAGACTACAGCAAAAAAGAAAAGTAAACGCACAGTGGAATTTATAAAATAATTATAAAAGTAAAAAAGAAAATGATATAAACAGGAAAAAACAACAGGTATGAGATCATCATATAAATATTGCTTCAAGTCAATATATATTTTTAATATCTATCTGAAATAACAAAGAGTTTTCCTTTAGCCCATTTTTGTTTATGTATATGGCATTCCCCATAATCAAAGATTAACAATAAAAGTGTATTAAAATAAATTAAAAAATCATATTTTTCAGAAAAAGTAAACATTTACAAAGAAAACATTGCAAATATACCTGAAACATCTTACTATTATAAATGCAAGTTAAAAAATAAGTGTATTTGTGCTTTCCCACAGAAATCATTTGCATTTGCTCTGTGAGCTGAAAGAATAATAATAATAATAATACATTTTATTTATAAGTGCTAAAAAGAGACACTTTTGCATTAAAACTCACAAGTTAATCTCTCTGCTCTCTGCCACAAACTCTCTAAACGTGAAGCACGGGAGAAACGGCTTGGATTTAATGCTCAATTAATGTAACCTCATTAAATATGCATATTTTTAGAGATGCAGATATCCATAAATGCTTTACAATAAATCGATTTTTAATGCTTTTATTGGAAGTCTCTTCTGCTCACCAAGGATGCATTTATTTTGTGTAACATTATTCCACTGTAATATATAGTAAAATGTAATAAATTCCTGTGTCACATGACCCTTCAGAAATCACTCTAATATGATGATCAAAAAACATAATTATTATCAGTGTTAAAGTGTTGCGAACAATTTT